AGCTATTGATAATCTTCTGAACTTCCACTGGGTCTGTGGTAATTATACACTTTTCATTCCTTATTGCTTGTGTTTGAATTTTTTCTTTCCTCTTTTTGATGAGGTTAGCTAGGGGCTTATCGATTTTATTTAATCTTTCAAAGAACCAGATTTTTGTTTCATTAATTCTTTGAACTGTTTTCTTCATCTCAATTGAATTAATTTCTGCTCTAATCTTTATGATTTCCTCGCGTCTTTGGGATCTGGGTTTGGTTTGCTCTTCCTTTTCTAGTTGTTGGAGATGTAACATTAGGGTGTTTATTTTTTGCCCATTGTGTTTTCCTAATGTGTGAGTTCACAGCTATGCATTTCCCTGAGAACTGCTTTCATCATATCCCATAAATTCCAGTAAGTTGTCCTTGAATTTTCATTGAATTGTAGATACAGCTGAATTTCTTGTTTAATTTCATCTGTGACCCACTTGTTGCTGAGTAGGGTGTTGTTTAATTTCCATGTACTTAGGGTATTTTTCTGGTTTCTTTTGTCACTTATTTCGAGTTTCATTCCACTGTGGTCAGATAATATGCATGGGATAATTTCTGTTTTCTTACATATACTTAATCTTGACCTATGCACCAGTATGTGGCCTATTTTAGAAAATGACCCATGTGCAGCAGAGAAAAATGTGTATTAAGCTGTGATCAGGTGGAACACTGTGTGTATGTCCCCAAGTCCATTTGTTCCAAGCTACGCCTCAGTTCTGCTACTTTTTTGCCAATTTTTTGTCTACTTAAACTATCTTTTTGTGACAAGAGGGTGTTAAGGTCTCCTGTTAAGATTGTGGTATTGGATATTAGATTTTTCATGTCCATTAAGATTTGCTTTATATAGTTGGGTGCTTACATGTTTGGTGCATACATATTTATGAGTTTTACCTCTTCCTCTTGAATTTTTCCCCAACTAGTATATAGTGGCCTTCTTTATTTTGCTTGATCATTCTTGGTTTGATGTTGAGACTGTCTGAGAATAGGATTGCTACCCTTGCTTTTTTCTGAGCTGCTGGTGCGTGTAGTATTGTTTTCCATCATTTGACTTTCAGCCTATGAATGTCTTTATGAGTTAAATGTGTTTCTTGTATACAGCATATTGTTGGATTTTGTTTCCTAATCCAAGATGCCAGTCTATTTCTCTTAATTGGTGAATTGAGTCCATTTACACTGATGGTTATAACTGAGATGTATTGACTTACGACCGACATGTTGTTTACCTGTTGTTGCTTACTCCTTTTTGTACCATGTGTAATTCCCTGCCCTAGTTAGTTGGTTGCTTCTGATCTCATTTGTGGAGTTCTGATCATTTTGGTCCCTCTCTAGAAAATCTTTCAGGAGTCTGTGTAGGGTTGGCTTTGTCATCATGAATTTCTTTAGTTGTTCTTTATCATGGAAGTATTTCACTCTCCATCAAACTTGAAAGAGAGTTTTGCGGGGTATAGTAGTCTGGGCTGGAATTTTTTTTCATAGAGGACTTGAAGTACTCTGCTCCATGCTCTTCTTGCCTTCGTGGTTTGTGAAGAGAAGTCGGCCATAATTTTGATGGGTTTTCCTTTGAATGTGATCTCCTTCTTTTCTCTAGTGGCTTTCAGTATATTATTCTTGTGCTAAATTTCTGGGATTTTGACTATCATACATTTCAGTGTGTTGTCAATTGGGTTGATGTTTTTTGGCTTTCTGTATGCTTCGGTTACTTGAATGTCAGATTGTTTCCTCATATTTGGGAAGTTTTCTGCTACTACTACTTCTGCCCATATTTTTTTAATGTCATTTGTATTGACTCCTTCTTTCTCATTGATACCTATTAGTCTCACATTGTTCATCTTTGCATCATTTTGCAAATGATGATTATTTTTTCCTGCATCCTAGTTGTTTTTAAGAGATCTTTTCTTACCTTTTCCCTAGCTGCACCAGCGTCTTCAAGATCTGAAACTCTGCCTTCAATTTCACTCAAACGGTTTTGCAAGCTTATGATTTAGATTTTAAGTTCCTCTAATCTCTTTGACCTTCCTTTGTGTGATCTATTTGTTTCCGGTATTGCTCATTCAAGGAATCAGTCATTTTTCTAATCTCTCTCTTCTTTATCAATGTCTTCTTTAGAAGCAGTTATTAATTATTTTACTACAGTGTTTTTTTCAGATTGGGTTTCCTCCCTATGTTTCTGTAGTTGATTTTTTCCTTCAGATGCTATGAGTTTAGAGAATTCTTTTTTTATTTCAGAAAAGAATTCCACTCTGAGTTCCTGTATAAGTTTCTGCTGTTGCTTATTTACTATTGACACTTTTAATTCATCCATTTTAGCTGAGCTAGTGTACTCTGCACTTGTTCTGGGTGGGCATTGGGTTTCCTCCATATGTTTCTTCATTTGATTCTTTGCTACAGATGCTGTTAATTCAGGGATTTCTTTTTTCATTTCCAATCTGAGTTCCTGTATACCTTTCTGCAGTTGTTTCTTTATTTCAGAAGCTGTTGATTCACTGACTGCAGCTGTGTGATTCCCAATTTGTTCTGTGTTAGTGTCCTTTGCACTTGTTATGGATTGGCTTGGGGTCTGAGATTGCATTTTGCTCCTTCTTATTGTTATTTTTTGTAGCAGTATCTTCTGACCTTTGTTGTAGAGCTTAGGTACAGTTATAACCTTAGCACCTAGTGAAATTCAGGTGCAGATCTACAAATTCTGGACTTATCCAGCTCTTTCTGGCTTGGGTCTTGCTGCTGTGCTCAGCTTCTTCCTGCTGCTGCCCTTGGGAGTGAACCTGTTGTGTCCCTCTGGCAAGATTTTGTGCTCCTAGACTAGATGTGTGGTTCTTTTCCCTACTCTCTGTGTAGGGACTGAAGTTGCAGGGTTTCACCCCAGGCCTGTATGCCAGGCCTAAGCTGAGTCTGAAGGGCACAAGTGGAATATGGCTGAGAGCAAGCTCTCCCACACACTCACCGGGTCTGGGCTAGTGCTGGATCTGGGGGCCTCAGAATACGGCAGAAATTCTCATGTGTTGAGGCGTGTTGAGGGGGTTGCTGCGGAGTGGTTGGAGGTGTTCTAAGGGGGTGGAAGAGGTTCTCACCCACGCTGCGCCTGGTCTGGGACTGGCAGGTCCCGCCGGCGCAGCATAGCCAGAGGGTCTCCTACATCTTAAACCTATTCTAAACCTATAAAGTAAAGCATGTACAAGAGTTATTGCTCAACATTATTTACAATATTTTCAAACCCTAAAAGTTTAAAAATTGTTTCATTCATGTTTGGGATCCTATTAAACTTTTTTAGTATTGATAACACAAAACTGGGAGAGGCTATTGATAAGTGAGGTGACAGAATTAAGGATTAATACACAACCAGAGAAATGAAGATGAAGTGCTATTTGTAAAGTCACTTACAAAAAAAAAAAATCTAAGTGCACAGCTATAGTAGAAGAATGATTTTATTCAGGTAAAAAAAGATAACTTATGGGCTTAGATGATTGATCTAAATGACTAAACATCCTCAAAGAATTTATTTTTTTTTAATGTGGTTTTTGGATTTCAAAGTTTTAAAGTTCTCTGGATTAAATTACATGTAAATTATTTCAAAGCAGAACATATATGAAAAAATCAGACAATATTATATGAGTTCTTTAGCCCAAGTATAATAATAATAAGAATATTTCAAAAAAACTAATATGTCTTGCTATTTTAAAATTTTACTGGTTACTTTATAGTAACAAATTTCAGTAATAGGTCACATTTAACAATGTAAATACTTTCATTTTACATGGTGATGATCACTATCTTTGAGTAAGTCTGTTCGCTAGCACATTACCCAGTAACATTTTCATTTCATTTCAAACAGACAGGAAATTAAGCATATGAAAGCTCTGAAGGTTCATTTGTACAAAGTAATTTTATATCTGCTTTGTAGACCTAGATACAGTTTTTACAGCTCTTCATATTATAAAACCAAATGTGTACTGGCATAGTGCTTTGATTATCTTAAGCGGTTAAGATATTTCTGGTTGGGCTGGGGAGATAGTCAGCAGTGTAGATCTATGGGCCTGCTTGGCAAGTGCAAAGATCTGGGTTCAATCTCCAGTACCACATGCCATGCTGTGCTGGCCACTGAAACCAGGCGTGGTGGCACACGCCTATAATCCCAGCGCTGGGGAAGCTGAGACAGGAGGATCACTATGTGTCCAAGCTGCATAGTGAGAACCTGTACCAAATACATAAATAAATAAAAGATAAAATATATTTCTAGGTATCAGAGATCTTACTTAATAATGTAAGAAAACATAGAAGAGTAGGCTGAGAAGGGATAACAAGTATAAAGCCAAACTGGGAAATTTGGTGAAACTCTCAAAATCAAAAAAGTATAAAAGGGCTGGTGAGCCTAGCGCAAGAGACAGAGGGAGGGAGTCAAAGTGGAAGCCCAGCTGGGGCAACACAGAAACATAAAGAGAATCTATATCAAAATAAAATATAATAAACGGGCTGCAGAGGAAGCTCAGTGTGAAGGCCCTGGGTTCAATTCCCACTACCACAAAGCAAAACAACTCCAAAGTCCACCCCCAATAAACAAACCAAAGCAAAACAAAATATAGGATAGGAGGAGATGGAACGAAAAGGGTCCAGGGGACTAAGGGGTAAGGAATAGGGAAACATCTACAGTGAGATTATTCTATGTGTAGGATCCTAATAACCCCAATAAATGTGGTATCTTGTGCCATCAACATGAACTAAGATTAGTAATATCCACAAGAATGTAAAAGGGGGACAGGGAATTAAGAGAGAAAAAGAAGGAAGGGAAGGAGAAAAGTAAAGAAACGAATCCCTAAGATGATTGCAAATGCACGTATTGCAAACATGTACCAAAAAAGAAAAAATAGAGACATAGGTATTTCTCTCCAAAGCAGTTTTTTAAGAATGCAACTTGTTACTGATAGACAACAAAATCATGAGCACCAAGATTACCTACTTTTAAATTATAATTATTAAAATTACCTTTTGTTTTTGGCTTTCAAGCACATGAATGTGGGCCTCAGTCATATGTCCCTGGTACAGTTTCTGTAGCCTGTTCAGCTCCTGAGAAACATTCTGCCAGAGTTCCACAGCCTGAGTCTTTTCCTACCAAACAAAAAAATGATAACTCAAATTATTAGCAGGCTATGCGGACTGCAAATGGATCATCCTCTTTTATAAGTGAGTTCTTGTACAGTATAAAATGGAGTATTACAAAGATGCTGCAATCATGCACTGCTTAATGACAAGAATGTGTATGTTCTGAGACATACTCTGCTAGGCAATTTCACTGCTGTGTGAACACTGGACGGCGTATTTACAAAAGCTAGGATGGCTACATCCTCATAGGCAATACACTACCACAGGCCACCACTGCACATGCATCTGACTGAAGTGTCCTTAGGTGGCACAAGACTGCACCATACATGTAATGTTTTTGGTGATTTTAAATTTCATAATAATTTAGAGAATAAACCTAAACAGAAAAGTTTTGTGTTGCAAAATTTATACTACAATTTTCTTTTTACTTAGATTTCACAGATAAAATTAAGAGCCTATTAGAGAGCCCTACTGTACTACAACAAAGTATAAGCGTTGGAAATTATTGAAGAAGAAAAATTCACTGAAAAGATTTTTTTCCCTATGACTTTAAAAGTAGTATGTATTTATTGTGGAAAATCAGGACAACATTGAAAATCAAAGAGGAAAGTAATAATCACTTAAAATTTTAACACCTGGTAATAAACATTGCTGACATGTAGATACAATCATTTTTATAAATGTTGATTCTTTTCATGTTTATAATTTTTTTTTTTTTTCGGTACTGGGGATTGAACTCAGGACCCTGTGCTTCTACTGAGCTATCTCCCCAGGCCCCTGTAATTTTGGATAGAATCTTTTTACTTTTAAAAAATTATAGGGGCTGGGGAGATAGCTCGGTGGTCTAAATGCGTGCCTGGCAAGCACAAGGACCCGGTTTGGATCCCTAGTACTGCAAGCCATGCTGGCCCCATAACCCTGGGCATGCTGAGTCAGCCACTGAAACCTGTTGCACACCTGTGATCTCAGTGCTGGGGAGGCTGAAATAGGAGGATCACTATGAGTCCAAACTGCAGTGAGACCCCATACCAAAAAAATTACTGAAATGACATAATGTATGTTCATAATATACTATTTTTACCTGGCATTTTATAATGAGAATTCTTTCAAATCCTTATCTATTGTTTTCAATGGAGCATTATCAAAGTGTGGTATGGGGAGCTTTACAATTCCCAAGACCTCTGAGGTCTTCTCATTACTGAGGTCACAATTATGTTTATAATAATATGAAGACATTATTTACATTTTTCATTCTCACTCTCATGCAGTAAAATTTTCTAAATTTTATGAGATGCCATCATAATTCACAGGCTAACAGAATGTGGGCTTATACTCTCATTCTGTTTTAATCTGTAATACAAAAACATTGATAGCTACAACCCATAAAAATAGAAGGGTATTGAGGGCCCTAAATATTTTCAAGCATCTTTAAGACAGGTATTGAAACCAAATCCACTGAGAAATGCAAACCTAAGTAGAAACCCTCATTATTAGTGAAATGCAACTTGCCTAGGGTTCCTCAACAAATCGCTAACTGAATCAGAAGATATATTTATCCCTTTGAGTCTAAAACCTAAGTTTTCAAATCCCAGGTCAAAAGTAAACTACCCTCTTAGTGTAGTGTAATGAGGATATGTTTTTAGAACATGATGAGCATATATTCAGAATATATAGGTTTACACATTTCTTTTTTTTTTTTGGAACCGGGGATTGAACTCAGACCCTTGCAATTGCCAGGCAAGCGCTTATTCTACTGAGCTATCTCCCCAGCCCCAAATGACTTTTGTTGGCAGAACTGGGGATGGAACTGAGGTCCTTGTGCTTGCCAGGCAAGCACTTATTCTACTGAGCCAACTCCCTGGCCCCAGTTTATACATTTCTATGAAATATTTACTGAAATACAACAGGCTTTCAGAAAACACACAGACCACGAACTTTTATAAAGTAAATTCATTTGTTGCAACCAGCACACAGTTCAAGAAAGACTTTTTTTGGGGGGTCGGCTCAGCCCACCCTGGGGGTGGGGCTGGCATAGCATGTGGTGCCAGGGATCAAACTATGGTCACCACACTGCCTAAGCTTGCCTAAGCCAGCACTTTAGAATGCTGAGCTTTCTCGCCGGCCCCAGGAGAGACTCTTATTATCTCCTAGAAGGCAGATGCTCTTGTGAGCTCATCCAGTTATTATAATCTCCCCCCAAATAGCCATTATCTCTTCTCTTTTGCCTCAAACTTACATAGTTTTGAAAGGTTTAGACAATCTGCAGCCTGGATTGGATGAGTAATTCCTGGTTAATTCATTTCATTTCCTTACGACTTAATTTTCCTTAAGACTTGTTTTCCCTTCATTTCCTTAATGACTCACCATAAAAGTGCCTCATACTTCAAAGATCTCACTGTTTCCCAAAGCTGCCTGCTGAAAACAATCACCTGCACTAGTAGTTCCAAAACATAGATTCTTTTGATGGCTTTCCAAGAACCAGCATCATCAACATCATCTCAGTACAGCTAGACTTGCAGATTTCTAGTAAAACTTTACCTCAGACTTGTGCATGTAAGTGTGTACAGTAATCTGTGTTTCATTACTATGCTAATACTGTATATCATTTTTTAAGTGGCATGAATTCAGTTTTGAGGTTAACCACAATTTAACTGATTTTTATATTTTTTGTTTTAAATTAGTTTTAAATTTTTCATTTATTCCCTGGCATGCCGTGCCATCCCTTCTCCTGGGAGGTGCTGAGACAGGACTAATAGTGGGCCCCATGGTGGCGTGTGTCTGTAATCCCAGCACTTGGGAGGGTGTAATGGGATGATCACTAGAGTCTGATCTGTATAGTGAGACCCTGAAGTCCCTGTACTAAATACATAAAAAATTAAAGAAACAAATTTTTCATTATTATAAGTATTATGCGAACATATTTATTCATACTTTTTTATACACAATTTTTTAGAATAAGCTTCTATAGTCTATACAATATCATTATCTAATTGGTCAGAATTTATGAATATTTCTTGGGTAAAGGCCATGCACATTTCTAAGGCTCTCAATACAGTTAAAGCTGTTTTTAAGAAAGCTTTTTAGGGGCCTGCCCATTAGCTTAGTTGTTTAAGTGACTGCTTAAACAAAGCAGTCAGGCTCAGGATGCTGTGGTTCAATCCCCAGATCCTCAAGCCTTGCCAACCTGCCCTGAAGGCATGC